TCGTGGAGCCAGTGTCGAGCCCATGTCACAGTCTCAGATGGCTTTGGTTTCTTTTGAAGATGTTTGAACATCTCTTTGCAAGTGAACCACCAAGGGTATGGGGGAAACCAAGCCAGAGCCAGTTCTGAGGTAGGCAATCTAGGAAATTTAGGTGGATGCATTTCGAATGCCAACCTATACCTATCCTCAGGTGACAACCCTGAAGGAAGTTTTAACTTAGAAACTTTTTGTTTGAATTTTTCCTTCAAGGTCTCAGCCGCTTGATGCACAATGGATTCCAAGCGTGTGGGGTCATAAGTAGTTTCAAAATAATTTTGAAAAGCTTTAATCTCTTTGGCATGAGTAAACATACCTTTCTTGGCTGGTACCTGCACATCGAAGGCATCAATTAGTTTCTGCTGAATTGTAAGAGTATCGAACATATAAGTTTGACAAAACTTGGTCCACCATTCCAGAAACCCCTTAGCTGTAAGATGGGTAGGTTCGAAGGTTATTAGCTCAAACTGGGCAAAGCCTTGGTATTGTTCTTGCTGTAATTTTGCTTCCCGTGCCTTGAAAGTTCGCCCAGAGGTAATGGCACTCTTAGTTTGAAATAAGGGTTCAGGAATTAGCTGGCATAAGCCAAACTGTCTCGAAACAAAATTTGGCTGGTAAGCGAAAAGGAAAATCTAATTCTTGGCAGGAGTTATTCTTGAAGAAATGAGTCTAGGTAGCAAAAAGGCTCTCCATACATCCTGAATCTCCTTGCTCTTGACAGCTTCTGAGAGAGCCATGGTGAACCAGGAAGGTCCATGAGCCCTCGAAGCAAAAGGCGCCATGGTTTCTTCGAACTTGTGCCTTTTAGAGAATATCATGATGTACTTCGAGAATAGGACTTTGAATTCATCTTTGTCGTCATTTGGAGTTAATCTTCGCAGCCTAGTGCCTTTGACTATTCTATCAGTTATCTCAGGGTCTTGTTCATCAATGGTGTTGGCAGTTGACAAGGAGGGTTCGAACATGGCATTTAGCCATAACTGAAGTAACCAAAAAGGGCCAGCCAATAGGATATTCTTGGAGGTATGAGATTTTAGGCTCGAAACAGCTGACCTTAGGCTTTCATAAAGGTCAACTAAGAGAAGTTCACTTAAGCACACTCTTCGATTCTCGTGCAAATCCCTGGCTAGAGGAATAAACCTACTGGCTACCTGTAGGGATCTACTGCAAAAAACATATCTTGACAGCCATAGGGTAAGGAAAGCAATGTGTTCTACATCAGACACATTGTCTCCTTCAGCATGGTAGTGACTGATAAACTTGGAAAAACTTGCTAGTTTGACTTCGAAGTCAATTATACTCGAATTTTCTTTGTTGTCAGGGATATATGTTTCTCCTACTGGCGATAGCCCAGTGATGGCCGCTATGTCAAAGAAGGTAGGGGTAATCATTCCACCGGGGAGATGGAAAGTATTATAGGTACTGTCCCAGAAATAGAGGCACGCGAATAACAAGGGGTGGCTGTAAGTGAAACCAGGCTTCGACAGCTTAATCAAGTTGTAGATACCTAATTCTTCCCATTGTTGGGATTTCTTAGCTTCTACCTTTTTGAACCAGTTTTGGTAAGCAGTGTCGGAGGTGGGGCAAGATCGAAACGGTTTAAAATTACTCTTTACATAGTCTAATAGAAAAGGGTCCTTAGGAGGAACAGTTGGATTTTCCATGGTGTTTGAGCCAGAAGATTCTATTGCCTTAGGGGCGTCCATTTTGTTAAACAAGGGTTTGAAACTATAGCAAACTGGGAAAATTGTCCTGGTATCTTTTAAAATTTCAAAAACCGTAAGAGGGCCCATTAAAGCTAACCTCTTACCAGCAGCGATGGTAGGAATGAGTACCTGAGATGCATAAAGCATTTCTTTCTCCTTTGAGATCATCTGGGGAGCAAGAACGGATTGACCTTGGTGAGTGATAACTTTACTTTCCATGGTAATTCCTGCGGTCTTTCCTTTCTTCTTGGAAACCTTTTTTAGTTGGGATGAGGTAGAAGAGGACATTTTTGAAGAATGTTGAAAGCTTAGGGTTTTTCGGTGAGAGAAGAAGGATAAAAGATTCAGAATGTGGAAAGAAAAGAAAAAGACTAAGTTGAAGATGTTTTATAATGTGGAAGTTTAAGCATCCACTGAATAAGGTTGTGATACGTGGTACTCATGGGTTGGTGTGATGAAGTGGTGGCGTAAAGTTAACATTGGTAGTAAGCGTGATTAAAGATAATCATTGTTTGGTAACTGCACCATACTGTGAAGTGGTTCCAGGCGGTTAAGGAATCTAAAAAGTGTTATGATTGACGTGACGGGAGTCAAATGCATTAAACGTTACGATGATTCGAAGGTTGCATCAAAATCTTGTGTAGATGTTTAAAATAAGTATTTCTCAAGAGAGATCGAAATACATATTTTAAAGGGGCATTTTGTTGGCTGAAGATTTTGATAATATTATTAGAAGCCAAGTGAATTGAACGTTTCAATTGAAATGAAACAAAGCGTCATGTTTCGAAATAGCAGAAGCAGTGTTTCGAATGAGCATATCAAAACTTGGAGCTTCGAGTGGCAATTATGGGAACATATCTAAAGAAGTCTCGAAATGACAACAAGGTTGTGTCTGAAAAGTGCGTTCGAAGCAGAGACGTACCAAAACATTTGAAATTCAAATGCAAGCGGGACATTCAAAGTTTGAAATTTATGTGCTGGAGCATTTGAAGACACGTGGTAACAAGAGAGAGGCATTGTTCTGCATGTTCTGAACGTGGCATAATCTTATAGCAAGACCGTTATGGTCGAAGTAGTATAAATAGAAGTCTTAGCATTAGGATTTCGGGTGTCATATCTATTGTACTAAATACTCAGTAAACATTCAAATTACCACATGGCTAGGGAAACGAATGCAAGAGCAATGTACGTATGATAGCACCACATGTTTATGATTTAATGAAAACCCTTTATCATTTCCAGTACTTTCCTTTATCTTTCTGTCAAATACCATTTACAAGTTTTCTCATTTAAAATCTTTTTATTCGAAATCTTTTCATTGATGCCTTACATTTAAATGCTTTCTTTCCATTTCAAACACTTTACATTTTAGAAAACTGTCATACTTTTCATGCCTTTATTTTCAAGTTTTATCCTTCGAACGCCTATTTTTACTTAAAGTCATTTTACAGATTTCTTGCATTAAACGCTTTATTCGCATTTCGAATCTTTTACATTAACTGTTTTGTTTTACGTTTCGAAGCCATTTACTTGTCTTTTATGTAATTTTACATGTCTTTACAATTAACATTTATTCATGCAATTTAGTTTCGCGCACATATATTTTGATTACACCTTTAGATCTTTAAGAGAGAAATCGAAATAAGCCAAACACCTACACAACACTCTAAATACCAACCATGAATATCTGTTCGATCATGAGAGTTATCCTAATGACCAATAAGTCCTAGGATCAATCTAGTCGATCCTGCGAGTTACCAGAGAAATTGAATAACAGTCAGTAAGTTTATTCGATAGTTTGGAAGACTAGCGGTTGTTTACCAGAAATCACTGGAAACAGCTGTCTAAAGTGATTGAAAAAAAAAAAAAGAAAAGGAAAAGCGCTGCTAAAGGGGGGATAATAGACAACGCTTTTCATGAAAGCGCTGTCTAAAGTGATTGAAAATTTTTTTTAAAAAAAAAACGAGGAAAAGCGCTGCTAAAGGGGGAGTAATAGACAGCGCTTTTCATGAAAGCGCTGTCTAAAGTGATTGAAAAAAAAATTAAAAAATAAGAGGAAAAGCGCTGCTAAAGGGGGGGTTATAGACAACGCTTTTCATGAAAGCGTTGTCTAAAGTGATTGAAAAAAAAATTTTTTAAAAAATGAGGAAAAGCGCTGCTAAAGGGGGGATAATAGACAACGCTTTTCATGAAAAGCGCTGTCTAAAGTGATTGAAAAATTTTTTTAAAAAAAAATGAGGAAAAGCGCTGCTAAAGGGGGGTAATAGACAGCGCTTTTACCAAGCGCTGTCTAAAGTGATTGAAAAAAAAGCGCTGTCTATACCTTTAGCAGCGGAGGTTTTAGCAGCGCTTTTAAGCGCTGTTAAAGGCCTAAAAAAGCGTTGTCTAATCCCTTGTTTGGCATAGTGGATCCAATGAAATCCAATTATAGTGTCACTTTTATACGTTTGTTCCTAAAATATAGCCTCATATGTATATGTCATGATTTATTTGAATGCATGTGTAAAATAATTTTATATTATCGGTGCATGAGTATTATTTTAAAAAATTTAAGAAAAGTTATTAAAAAAGATCTCAAAATTAATAATTTAAAAAAAAATTTATTTTGAATAAAATATTATAGCAAAAATTGATTCATGTAGCAAACCACTCTTAATAGAATAAAATTTGATTGTTATTATTGTGTATTTTGTTGTACTTCAACTATTATTGTTGTTGGACTTCAACTATCATTTTGGTGTGCGATCAAATAATTTTTATTTGTGATCTAACAAAAAGATCATTATGTAGTAGTCTTATACATTGTCCGGCTCACATTGGCGGCTTTGAATTTCTACATTAAAGCAACGGCAGCGGCGGCTACACCAAACAATTAGCCTAACAAGCTATCCAATATAGTAATCAGCATGTTCTTTGTTTCCACACAAAAGCATGTTTCACTGTAACATTGTTATTGGACATGTTATGTTATTCCACTGTACATTTCTTGTTATAATATATACTTGTAGATTCTATATTATACATTTTGGCAACTTGACACATGATAATTATTCCATTCCATGTATCTATCTAAGTGAAGAATATTATTCCATATATTGCAATTCAATATTGCTGCATGTTTATCAAATCTAGAACTAAACAGAAACACATGTATAAATACAGGTCCCAATGTTGAAACATGCACTCATCATTCAATAACACCACATAAACATATAAACGCAGGTAGAGAAGTTAAATACTCCGTGGTTTGTTTTTTCCATGGCGTTTATAGAACGTAATATTTCTAGTGACGGAAAGCGTGTGATGACTCTACAACAGTTCAAGCAATGGTTAAAGACATCATTCGATGCAAATGGTGACGGTCGAATCAGTAAAGGTGAATTGCGTGAGGCGTTGAGGATCACCGGTGGATTCTTCGCTTCGTGGAAGAGTAGTAAAGTGTTGAAATCTGTTGATTCTAACCATGACGGGTTCATTGATGATAAGGAGTTTGTTAACCTTGCACGGTTTGCAGAGAAGCACTTGAACATAAGAATCACCAACTAGTTTTATGTTTGTGTATATAAGTATATTAAGCCTAACAATCATGGCGATGAAGTTTTTTCTTAAGAGTTTTAACTTTTTTTTTTTGTGATTACTACATGTTTTGATTCATTGTAAATGTCTTTAATTTTTTTGTATTTATTATACTGGTTAAATTATCAGTTATGATATATAAATAGTCTCCTCGCATATTTCACGAAATGTCACTCAATCGCATCACTCTTTCATAAAAACCTTGAATATTTTCTTCGTTTTATATTATGTTTTTTTTTTTTATAGAAATATTTTTGCATAAAATAAATATTTTCACTTTCTTTATAAGAAACAAACCATTCTAGAAAAAGTATTAGGGTACTCTAATCCAATTACCTTTAAAATTTTACATCAAAGATGAACAATCAGTATGATTTGAGACAATCAAGTGGATTTTGGCACCACTGATAAAAATTAATTTAATCTTTTTTTTAGACAATAGCTAACCTCTCCATGCAATCATCTTCACTAAGAATACAATCTCTCCTATATCATCTATTAATTCGTTGAAGATGATTTCGTTTCTAACTCTCCAAACGCACCGACAAACAATCAATCATATGTCCCCCGCTCTTTTCTTAGAGATAAGTTTTTTTTATTATAAAGAATATTTTTATAAAATTGACTACAATAGCTTTTTCTTAAACATCCTAAAAATCTTGCGCTTATAATAATAAATAAAGTATATATAATCACATTCACACTTAAGATGTTACTCGTCATCAAACATATATGTTCTCTGTGCACATAATTATATCATAAGACATTTAACATCTATCATCGCATGCTCACCTTCATTTAAGGTATCATTGTACTAGAATCATAAAGATCAACATGCTTTGCAAATTATATAATCTCATAACGACAATTTATCAAAACTGAAAAAATAAGATAAAAGTCTACACAAAATCACATAAGCATCAATCACGAGAGCATGACATATAACTCTCTAATTTAAACCAACGAAATAAAAATGCATCGTCTCTCCCGCCTAGTGTTACAGATCAGAGCAACATAATTCTAAGAACGCAAAAACAAAAGACAGAAGAACAACCTCGTGTCATCCTCTTGCTCTAAGTAGTTATTCAATTACATGCTTATCTGTACTCCAAAGAGGATCACATACCACAACAACATCAACAACAAAGGGATGAAAAATCACATCAATAAAGTAAGCAATACATAATGCAAGGTAGAGTATAAAACACATACATATTCTACATATAGTCACATGCGGCATCATACAACACATTCTCACACCAACTCGATGATCACACACAAATCGACATTATGCATACAACTCATTAGAAACTCAACTATGCAATTCGATGCATATGCATATGGTACCAACGCAATATATAATGCTCTCAAGAATCAGGTCCCCTCTCTGAACCCATGACCCCCCTCTCTAAACTTGAGACAAGCCATTAGTCCCCTCTCTGAACTAGCGAACATGCCTCTTGACACAACTCAAATAATGCATGAATCACACATATCAATATCAATGTGTTGAGACTCCTCTTTGATCCTAACTTAATGCACTGACAAGTCTCATAATCTATTTTCTGGATCACCATGCAATCACAATCACAAATGCATAACACAATTGAAATGAGCATAACACAATTATTAAGTAATTCTCCTCAAATGAGTTATTATCTCATACACGCATCAACACATCAATTATAACTCAACAAACTCAATATATCATCAATCCACTCATAAATAAACAATTACTCTATTAAACAAATTTAATTTAATTTAATTCTCTCATCGCAACCCCCATATCAATCAAAATAATCATTTAAAAGTCAAATAACCAAAAATTTATGTTTTTATACACTTAAACAGGCTTACTGTGCAAAACGCAGAACCATGACGCCATAGTCGTCACTCCAGTGACGCCCATCATTGGTTTAAAGCGCATGACGATCTATCTTTCATACTGGTGATGCCTGTCACCCTGAACTAGAAGCAGAAATTGAGTTTTCTTTCATGGAGCACCTTCAAACTCCAATTTTTAGATCACAATCCTCAAACTTCAATTACAAATATGATAAACAGATCAAAACACACACACACACACACACGCACACACACACACACACACACACACACACACACACACACACACACACATATATATATATATATAACACCAATCTAATCAAACATTCATGGATTAAATTACATAATTTCATGGAAAATAGAACACAAATTTCATCATGGAAAACATATTATAACCTCAATATATCACCAATTTCCAGATTCATATAACAACTCAACAAAACATCCACATCCATACCATCCCTGTTGGAGGTTAAGGAATCCTCTACCCTAACCTTCAAGCATATATCCTTTATTAAGGTTATTCTCTTCCTTACCTTAATTCCTAGCAAGAAATATGAATTGGAAATAGTTTGGGTGGTTTCTCCCTTCAACCTTTAGCCTCCTCTTGTTTCCCTTTTCCTCTAGGAAACAAATCAGGATAAATCATTAGTTGATTTAAGCTGAACCATCAGAGGTCTTCAATTTTCTTTCACTGGATAAGAAACAGAAAAATCTTAGGATCGATTTAACTGAACTAGAGAAAGAGTCTACCAGAAACGAATCAGGGTAAATCACTGGTCTATTTAAACTAAACCAGAGAAAGTGTCTACCGAAAAAGAATCAGGATAAACCATTGGTCGATTTAAACTGAATCAGTAGAGGTCTTGATTTAACTTTAACTGGATAATAATCAGAATAAATCTTTGGACAATTTAACCGAACCAGAGAAAGTATCTACCGGAAAAGAATCAGGATAAATCATTGGTCGATTTAAACTGAACCAGCAGAGGTCTTGATTTTCTTTAACTGGATAAGAATCAGAAAAATCTTAGGGTCAATTTAACTGAACCAGAGAAAGCGTCTACCGGAAAATGAATCAGGGTAAATCATTGGTTGATTTATACTGAACCAGCAGATATCTTTAATTGTCTTTAACTGGATAAGAATCAGAAAAATCTTAGAATCGATTTAACTGAACAAGAGAAAGAGTCTACCAGAAAAGAATCAGGATAAATTGGTTGATTTAAACTGAACCAACTAAGGTCTTTAATTTTCTTTAACTAGATAAGAATCAGAAAAATCTTAGGGTCGATTTAACTGAACCAGAGAAAGAGTCTATTGGAAACGAATAAGGATAAATCATTGGTCAATTTAAACTGAACCAGCAGATGTATTTTGAGGACGACCTTCTGAGGAAAATGCTAAAATGGCCCTTTGTCAGATGTAACCTTTGAGAAGACTGTCAGGTCATGTAAGAGACTGATGATGCTTGTTGATAGATCTTTCCTGAAAAGGTAAAGAATTAGTCGTATGCAATTCCATGATGTATGAAATATATTGTGCAATGATGTTCTCAAAATAAATGAGATTGTGCTATATGCGTTTCGTATGCATATGCTATGACATTTGGTAAATGATGTATGAATGTGGAATGTTTTTGAAGTGAATTTCTAAACTCGAGTAGCATCTTTGTCTGGGGAAAATAAATCCATGAATAACGCTGGGGATGAAGAGTATGTGTATCTTCGATCTTCTGGGGATTATTTCCGCTGGGGACTCCTGCTTTCTTATTTGAGAAAAATCCGTCGGGGAACATTGATTTCTGCTTTTTGCTGGAGGAAACTCTGCTGGAGAATATTAATTCCTGCTTAGGGAGAAAAGTTCAAGAACATTGGTTGCTCATTGCTCTACTGGGGAGTTTTTACCCTGATTGGGGCTAAAAGAGATGGATAACCTTCCGGCTTGTCTGGGGAGGATAAGGTTGACTGGTATTTGATTTATTTCCAGGTTCCATATAAACTCTCTGAGGATAGTTGCAACTTTACTAGGGAGAGGATTTTAGTTGGTGATTTATGGTAAAAGCATACTCAAGCTGGAGAGTGTCAGAATAAATCTATGCCTTGATTGTATCTGAAGATGTATTGAATGGGTATCAGAATGATATCCATATTTGTACTGTATTTGAACCGTATCTGAAAGATGTACTGAATGAGTATCAGAATGAATCTATATCTTAATCGTATCTGAACCGTATCTGAAAGATGTACTGAATGAGTATCAGAATGAATCTATATCTAGATTGTATTTGAATTGTATCTAGAAGAGAATCTAGAATGAGTGTCATAATGAATCTATATCTAGATTGTATCTAAAATGTATCTAGAATATGATAAGCTGTTAGAGAAATAAACTCTGTTGGGGAAATACTCTTGTTGAGGAAACACCCTTGTTAAGGAAATGAACTCTGCTGGAGAACAGAAGTCTGAAAGGAGGTTTTACAACCTTGGAGGAAAAAGCTCAGCTGGGGAAGAGAAACTCCATGAACTGTATTGATTGGAACTCCGTAGGTTGGTGATATTTCTGGGGAGAAAATCATACTCCTTTATCAGCCAGAGTGATCTGTCGTGGCAATTGCGGAGAATGTATGAACTTGTGAAGATTACAATGTGGGTATAATCTCATGGAAGTGGCTCTGTGGGGATCCATGGGGACTTGAACATACCTCTACTTCTAGAGCCCTTGGTGAATGTTAATCGGGGCAATAAGTCTTCTACTGATAGACAAGTGACGAGACGACGGTACATAGTCGTACGCTTTAATCCCTAACTTTTTCCTAGACTGTCCTTTCAGATTTTCAGTCCATCGGGATACCCTTTTTTGCCCAAGCCGCTTTTTCAGGCTTTCGACTTTCCGGGTGTACAGTTTTATTTATATATCCCTAATTTTTTTCCCTGACTCTTTTGGTTCGCCGAGATGCCCTTATTTTTGCCTAGGTCAGTCAACCTAGTGGGTATTTTTTCATGCATAGTATTTTTCGACTATGTCCGTGTTCACAGGGTGCGAAGAATTATCACTGTCCATAGTAGTAAGTGTTGTAGCACTACCAAAAAATGTTTGCTTGATCGTACATGGCCCTTTGC